CCAAAATTACCTGGATAAACTGGAGAAATGGTCAAATGACATTAAAAAGGGTAAGTGCAAAGTCGTGCGTTTGGGAACAGAACAATTGCCTGCACAAATACAGACTGAGCAATGATTGGCTAGGCTACACTCCTGCAAAGAAGGACCCGAGTGTTACAGCATACCATAAGTTGAATGTAAGGCAGGAGTGTACTTTTGTTGCTGCACTGTATACTATTGTATTAACAGGAATGTCTCTTGCGAATCAAGGGAAGTGATGCTTTTGTTCCATTTGGCATTGGTGAGACCTCACCTAGAGCACTGTGTCATTTTGGGCCCCATGCTTCCAAGATACGGACAGACTAGGAAAAGCCCAGCAGAGAGCAACAAAAATGCCAAGATGTCTGGGAAATGTGACTTGTGAATAAGGACCTACTCAAATTGTGATTTTGCGATGTTCATGAAAATTGTGAAAAACTGGTTTCTGTGAACACCATGAAAAAAGTCTGTTTCCACAATTTTGTGCAGAATTGCCAGAAAAAAAAAAACCTAACTAAAAATAAAACGCCGGCTCCCCAGTGGGAGCCAGTGGCTGCTGCGGCCCAGCCTTGCAGCCTGATGGGGAGAGAGGGGAGCAGCAGGAAGGGGAGCAGCTAAGATAGTGGTTGCTCCCTTTGCTAATTGGTTGTGCAAGCTGCCTTTCATGCAGTTCTGCTCCTCTCCACCAATCAGCAGTGAGGGAAAAAGCCACCTGAAGGGCAGCCCTTTCCACCAATCAGTGATGAGAGGCAGGGCTTCTGGGGCCCTTTGGCCAATCAGCAGTGGAGCGGCGCCATGATAAGCCCGCAAAAATGGCAGCCAGCACCACAATCAGCCCACGAAATTGCCCATCTGCCGCATCCATTTGGGTAGGTCTCTACTTATGAGGAAAGGCTGAAAGAATTAGGACTGTTTCATCTGGAGAGGAGAAGACTGAGGTGGGGATTTGATAACAGTCTTCCAATTCCTGAAGGGCAATTATAAAGAGTATGAAGATGGACTATTCTCTGTGGCCGTAGGGGGCAGGACTAGGAATAATGGCGTCATACTGCAGCAGAGGAAATTTAGTTGGAGATTAGGAAAAACTTCCTCCCTGTGAGGGTGGTCGAGCACTGGAACAGGCTGCCTGGAGCAGCTCTGGAGTCGCCATCCCTGGAGCAGGTTGAACAGACACTCAGCTGGGACAGTTGTCAGGGATGCTCCTACCCTGCCAGTGAGCTGGGCTAGGTGATTTTGTGAGATCCCTTCCAGCCTGACTTTCCTATCAGCCTTCACTGGGACCAAGTAGAGGGCTATGGGGAGGAAAGTATTGAGGGAGCATCCCATGAGTCTGAGGACTGCTGGATGACTTGGTTGATTTTGGGAGCGGAAGCCCGGTGGGATGTGCCCTGCCTGAGTTCGGCACAGCCAGTGGCCTGGAGCAAGCCCTGCAGACTCCCTGAAGTTTGGCCCTTCTCTTCTGTTCTGAGTCCAAACTTGTGCCTCCAGGAACCTAGTCTGTGTAGCAAGGGTCCCCCACTTCTCCAAGATGCTCATTGCAACAGGGTCCTCCCAGCATTGGTCAAACCCCACAGTACCCAGGGACAGAAAAAACTGCAGTACCCTGTGCTAGGAACATGAGGCTCTCTCTGGCACCAGGTGACAGAGAAAACAATAGCAGAAACCAAACATGGCCTGGGGGAGGACTGAATACAGAACATTCATTAAGAAGTAAGGGTGGAACACAGGCTCTGGAGCACAATGAGAAGCTTTGTGATAGCTCAGATAATTGGTGAATAGATTATTTAAAAAATCTGTAAAGATCTGAGACCCTGCTCTAACTAAGCCCTCAGAAACATCAGCCTCTCCCTACCCCTCCTCCCGGCAACTGCTTTTCTACAAGCTGGAATCTGTACAATTTACTGGGAACTGCATCATTAGACCCAAGCTATAACACATAAAGAAAGCAACTAGGGATCAGTCATGAGATTGACTCCTGAGAAAAATGTGTCACCAGACCCTTGACAGACTACAGCGGAAATTCACAGCACAGCAGAGATGTCAGACTCCCAGCAGAAGTACAGGAATCTGCTTAGAAGCTTCAAAGTGGCTGCAGAGCCTCTTAGTGCGGAGAGGACACAGGAGCAAAGTCTTCTGAATCTGAGAACCCAAATGGCTACTTTTGACCTCCCCCCACCCCCCCACAATCAGTACAACCTGGATAGAACTGCAACATGTAGGCCTTAAAACATAAACAAGCCTCTTACTGCATAAGAGGCTGCAGAAGCCATTTCCTTTGAGACACAAGAATTGAAGTGAGATCAGCTGTGAATGTATTCAGCAAGACTATTATAGTAATGGAAAAGTGGAATTTTTCACTCTTCCTAAGCAAACTACTTTATGAAAAATTGATATAATAAAAGCTGAACCAGGCAGTGTTCAGCTTTCCACATAAACTGGATTACTCTTAAAATGGTGTAATGCACATTTCTGAAGCAAAAAAAATCCCACTGTATTTCCTCTGCAAGATGAGGTTTCAGAGCTGTTTGCATGTCATGGCTAATGCCACTTCCTCCCCCCCCCTTTTTCTGCATCTAAAAGGTTTGCACTTAGCATCCTGAAGAGCAGAGCTGGGTGAAATTCCAAGCACAATAAAATCAGGCTTAAGCAATAAACACTACTGCAGTAAATTAATCCATAGTCCTGCACACTTCTCAGTGCTCAACCAGCATCACAAGGCACGAAAAACCTAAAACCAATATTAACTCTGCTACTAGCTCTAAGCATTGTGGCTGCTAACAGATTGGGGTGGGGGGAATGCTTTACTGGAAGCAGCAGCACATTAGTTCAACCCAGCTCTGCAACATCTGTATAGGTTGGGCACTTCAGCAGTGCTTTTTGGCACTTTTATCTACAGCTGATTCAATCAGCTGTAGATAAAAGCACCAAAAGCCCCACTAAAGTGCCAAATCTATACAGACATTGGGTGAACCAGGTCCAGATAACACGATGCCTCTTCTGGGCATGTGCAGGGCTTGGTGCTAGGGTGTCCCAAGTTTGAAGTAAAAGCACTGTTTTGGGGGGGTTGTTTTGGTTTTTTTTACATCTGTAAGCAGCCATCAAGAATGACTTAGGATGCTACTGTAGTGAAATCAAGACTCCCCAGCTTACTAAAGGCTTTGTATTTTGCAAATCCTAAAATTAATTGATATCATACCATTTTTATTGAGAAAGAGACACAAGACTCTGGCCCCCACAGCCAGGGGAGCATCTGTAGCTATATAGCAGCAGTGGGCAATTACTCAGGCTGAAGGGTCACTTAGGAATGTTTGGTGAGCTGTTGCACACCCTTCCTGTTCACAACTTACCAAAATTCTCAAAGTGGTTTGGGGGCAGCGTGTGGTCTCCATGGAGACCGGTTCAGGACCCCTAAGGGCAGGGCATGGTCAGCCAGGGGGATGGGATGATCAAGCCATTGGGAGGAGTATCTGGGAGCAGGATGGGCAGGTGGGGCTGGGGCCAGAATTGCAGGGTGGTGACAGTGCAGAACCAGGGACCAGGGCAGAGCTGCAATCCACTCCCTGCATGGCCCTCCACTGTCACTACCCTGCAATCCCAGCTCTGCCCCCACCTACCTACCTTGCTCCTGGGGGCCACTCCCTATCTGCCCATGGCCCCAAGGCATGTGCCCAGTTAGCATGCCCTGCCCATAGGGGTCCTGGGTCCATCTCCATGGAGACCCTGCCCACCCTGCTCATTCAGTACCTCTGGTGGTGGGTGTGGGGTGGACAATCTGGAGTGCCCAGGCAGCGGGGCTGGGTCTAGCAACAGTCGCCATGATGGTACTGTTGTACTTAGAAGGAGATGAATCTGGTCGGTGGGAGACCAGACCTCATATTGAAAGGGGCATGAATTATTTGCAAGTGCATGCCATGCTGGAAGTTGTGCTGAGAACCTTCCAAGTTGCATCTCTTGGCTGGGTTTGTAATTGTGTGATTTCACATCTGGTACAAGACAAATAAATACAATGTTTCCACTACAGACTCATTTGTTGCTGGTGAACAGGTACCAGAGGCTACCAAGGCGGGGACCCATTTAGCATCACTTGAGGGGGTGCAGGGCAGGGGCTGTTGGGCTGTGGCCAGCTGGCATGTCTTCCCCTCAATCCACGTAAACAGTGTTTAAAATTTTCTTGTATACTAGCCTGTTGATTTTTTGAGGTTGTGTGCAGACCATCTTCATCTTTCAGCTCACTGAGTAAGCTTCAGCCAGTGCAGGTCCATTCAGGGACAAAGACTGATTTCACTGTGTTATTATTTACTCAACACTAATAGTGTTGACAACAGGAAGCTGTTGGTACCATGATAATAGTCTCTTACCTCAACTCATTACATGCACACATATCCAAGATGCCATATGGCAGCAGAGGAGACAATTACTGGTTCCCACAGCACCATGTCCCACAAAGCTCTTTGGGGCCAGTTAATCAGAGCTCGGTTACTGTTTAGTACTGAATTAATACAGGAGGTGCAAGATACCCAAGGGAATAAACAAATTAAAGCACCAACTCGGTATCAGACAGATTTATTGAAACCAACGTGGGAACTAGCAAAGAAAAAAAATAATTCATTTGCTTTAATTATTGCATATTTCATTTCTAGGAATAGTAAATTTTAAAATGATAAATACATATTTCATAACAGTGAAGGCTTTGGCCAAAAAAATATCATTTAGCACATTCTTTACATTACAAACAAACAAACAAACTGTTATAAATGTATGTTAAAAAGGGATTTTCCTTTACTAAATTAAAGGAGTGCACACACCACCATGGCGCTAGGACTAACATCAGACAGATACTCTTGGCTGTGCAAAGCAGATCATTGATTACAGTAATAGAAAGAGGTCAGGAGAACAAAAGAAATCAGAGGAGAATGCATAGCACTCCAACTTAGAGGTATTGACAGTGGTGACTTCTTGCAGAATTCAAGTCAGCATGTCCCAAAGGCAGCAGCAGCACAGAGCAGTCCAGCATGCTGTCAGACAGGTACTCTCTCCTGTGTCATCCCTTCTTCGCTCTTCTACAACATACACTGTGGGAAGAAAGGGAGAAGTTTCAAAATGGCTGGGAACCCTCTAGGTAAAGTGCAGCAGCAGGGAAGTGCACAGTCAGTAGCCAGTGCCTTTGCCAAACTAGCCAGTTGCCTTCAGCCTTTTGTTCATAGCATGCCAAACTAGTTCAGACTGCTCTAGCTCTAGCATCTGTCAGGCAAGGTTCCCGAAACCCCTGCCAAACACTAGGGCCCTCCATTCCTTGAGCAAATATTTTTAATGCACAAGTAGTTATTCCACAGGAGAGGGGTCTCCTTAAGAATGTATGTTTCTTGAAAGAGGGCAACGTTTCATTGTACATGTCTGCCGACAGACGGGGAAAAATTAAAAATAGCCCTGGGTCTCCAAGGGTGGGTGCCAGCAAACTCCAGAAGTAGCAGCAGTTTGGAAACGGAAATAAATGGAAAAGGAGCATTCCTTGCCACACTGTGGGTCAGAGTCACTTCCACCCATAATCACAGCATTTCCAAAGGCCCAAAGCACAGCATTTCTACCTGTGAAGAGGGCCCACCCAGGACTAGAAAAAACAAAATGGGTGACCACAGTTACACTTGCAGGAGACACTGGATTTCCATAGTTGGTGGGGATGGGTAAGAAGGGGGCAGTCATCTGCTTGCCAGTGTACATAGATGCTGATGACATAAATATGGTTTATTACAAAAGTTCGGCTGGTATCACTTCAGTTCAACACACCCAGCAATAGTTGCATGTATGGGTTATTGCACTCACAATCTATTCTGGGAAATCAGCATGTGACAGTGTTTACAGTCACTTCTTCACCTCTGGGTAAACTGTTACGGTAGCACCATCTGTGGGGAGATATATTTAGTGCTGCACAATGTCTTATAAAGAACCACATGGCAAAGTGGGCAACCTTCCATCACACCCAGCATCCCAAACCTAGCTGCTGCCTCCAGTAACCCCACCTACCCCAAGAAACCCCAGAACTAGAACAGTTTACACTGCCCTAAGCTGCAAAGGGAGGTAAGGAGTCTGGACTACATAGGCTGGAGTGCACTATCACCTCAACCTACTGGACAGGCCATCTGACCTCAGAACTGTTTAACTGCAGGCTCTTCATCCAAAGGACTAGGCCAATCATTGTACCAGAAAGGTTAATGGGACTTCTAAATGTGTTGTAGGAAGATTGAAAGCATGATGGTAACCTGGAAAGAATCAGAAATCACCAGCATATTGGCATCTATCCAGCTTCCCGCTGCATTTGGTTCAACTCAATATATCCTGCTTCTACGTTGTAGACTCCTTGTTTACTTGGAGCAAACTTGCTCCAAGTAATATAGGAGCAAACTAGACAACTCCCAACCTGGGCACAGCATTCAGCAGTAGATGGAAGAGACATTCTACATGGACAGCACCATAAACTGACCACCCAGATTCCTGTCCTGTAATCACAAGGGGCCTTGCCACATGCCACAAAATTGGCATTTAAAGAGGCTTAAATGCCCTTTTACACTGCTTTAATGGCGCTACTGCTTACACATAGCAAAATAAAACACGTCCAAGGTGTTTTAGTTTGCTACCTTAGTAGCTTTGGAGGTAAGCACTGGGCCCTGTGCAGCGAGGGCTGTGCAAGCAGCCCGTGCAGGCAGGTTCAATTAGGGGGGTGGGGAAATGGCAAGCCTGATTTTCCCTGGCCCCCGCCTCTTGGAGCCTGCCTGTCTGCCCGCCTGAGCTGCATGGAGGCCTAGTGCTTCCCTCCGCAGCTGAGGTGCCCCCCTTGACTGCCTGGGCCGGGTGCCAGTGGACACCGCCACTGTGGAGAGAAGCACTGCCCCCCCTGCAGCTCAGGGACTGCTCAGCCCACCAGGAGCTCGCCCTCCCCCCCACCCCCTGGAGAGGC